CCCCAAAACCCCAAAACCCCAAAACCCCATGAAGCATTATAAAGTTGAACATTTTTAGATTTTTTAAATCCAAACTGTCTGTAAATGACTTTAAATATAGTAAAAAGGTGGCTAAAAGGATAATATAGGGCAATATAAGTAGAAATATTACTATTAAGGAATGAATGATATTAAAGATTCAAATCTGTTTTTGTAATTTAACTAATACTTGGTGTCAGACTCAGAGCTTAAGAACAGTCTTGGCGAGTTCCTTAGCAGCCTCCTTGACCATTGAGAATGGGCATCTTGATGAGTGGACTTTGAGATCAGATTTCCATTCTGGCTTGAAGACGAGATCTTCTTGGATATCTTGATGCTTGAAGAAAAGGTATCTGTCACCGAAGTAAGATCTTACGAGTTGGGACTTGATGGTGAGATCTCCAATGTGGACCTTGGAAGAGCTTGGTGTAGCAAGGGAGTATACCTTGTAGAGGAGGGTATTTGCTGGAATACTGGCAAGTTGGTCTTGGAAGTCTTCTGTGAAGTCATCTGAGAATTTGTTTTTAAGAGTTGGCTCGAATACTAGTTGGAAGGGGAACTTTGGAGAATCGGTCTTTTTACCGTGTTGGTCATAGGTGGCAATGTCTGAAAGACCTACGTATTGAACGAATGGAGTAGCAGTTGCGAATTTCTTGGCGACTAGAGTAAGTGCAAGTCCTTAGGCGTCTGGGATGTGATTGGAGAAATCCATTTTAAAGAAGTTCCATGAGTCAAATCCATTGACACCGTACATAGCAACCAAGTTTCCAGATGGTACTCCATCTCTGAGGAACTTAAGTCCGAATCCTGGGGTGAAGTTATCATAGGCTTCAGCAGCTGTTGACTTGGTCTTATCGAATTACTTGGCAGCTGAGAGTCTGATCAAACCGTGATCAGCACCGCTGGCGAAAATACCTGTGTATCCCTCGCTGTTTGATACTGGGGTGTATTTGACTTGAGCGGTATTACCTACAGTGTGGATGTACTTGCTTCTAACTCCGAGCCATCCGTTTTCAAAAGTATCTCCGACCCATTTAAGAGTTGATGACATGCCCTCAACAAAGAGACCACCAAGCTCGTAAGCAGGGAACCAATCATTAGATTTTGGGTTGGAAGTAACTTGTTCCCAAAGCTGCGCTTACTTCTCAGCAGCAGTAAGAGACTCGTAGTTAGTACCACTCTTTTCCCAAAGCTCAGCAGCTGAGCCAATAGCGACGAATGCGCTGATCATTAATGTGACGGCAAACTTTCTCATAATCTTGCTAATTTACGTATTAATTATTATAATAAGTTGGATCCTTTTGTAGAAACATCTTAATCTAAGTTTTCAATATAAAGTTACTGTCTAATAATAAAGTGAATCAGTATTTAAACTTTAAAGTTAACATTCATCAGGAAAACCATTAACCAATAAATAATACCATTTATTTAATCTTCTTTTCATCTATGTTTCAAGGAGACAGTTTATGGGGTTTTGGGGTTTTGGGGTTTTGGGGTTTTGGGG